CTCCTCCTCCCTCTCCCTTTCCTCGCAGGGCCGCGCGAGAGGGAGCGCAAACGGCGCGGACCTCGGAGCAGCGGCGTACTCTCAGAGGAGCGGCGCCGCGCACGCCACCAAAAAAAGGGGAGGCAACGCGGGGGCGGCGTGCACAGCTCGGGCGCTGCGGCTGCGAAGGGCCGGCGGCTGCTTCGGGGGCGGGGGGTGCTTCCTTCTCCTCCTCGTCCTCCTCCTCTCCACACACTCCACGCACTCCACGCCCCCTTCCTGGCGCCACCCCCATCCCGCATCATGTTCCTCCTCCTCCTCCTCCTCCTCCTCCTCCTCCTCCTCCTCCTCCTCCTTCTGCTCGTCCTTTGGGGGCATTCTCGGAAAATCGGCGGTGCGCCCATGGGGAAAATAGAAGAGGACGAAGGACGAGGCACGAGAAGGATTCGACCCCAGTTACTCCAACCCCAAATGAGAAGCCTAGAGTACCCCGGCCGACCATCGAGCTGCCCGAATCGTTGATCGGCGAGGGTTGGAGGCGGCCAGAGAGCCTAGACCGGTTGGGACCCCAGAGAGTCGGTCGGGAGGAGGGCTATAGCAGAATCCCTTCGAAGTCGTTCCCCGCACAACTCCCGGGGTCCACCCGGTACACTCTTTCACTCCAAATCGTTTGTTCCCTGCCCTGGGACACGAACGCGGCCCCTGGAATCCGAGCAGGGGCAAGCACTGCCCCGAACCCAGCGTCTCGAGCCCCGCCCCTCCTGGGCCACCTCTGGCCCCGAGGCGGCTCCCACGCCAAGGGTGGGGGTGTCGGATGCCGCCTTTCTCGAGAGCTGATGATCGTTTTCTCTACTGTATTCGAGCTATAGGCTGTCTATGGAGCTGTCTGGGCCACCTCAGGCCCCGAGACGGCTCCAAAGCCAAGGGTGGGGGAGTCGCATGCCGCCGCCGCAGGGCGCCCCCCCCCCCCTCGCTGGGCGCCCGCGCAGCCCGCGCAGCGGTCGGACCTCCCGGGCGCGGCAGGCTCGGGGGACTGCCCCCCCCCGCCGGCCGGCTTCCGAGGGGCTCCGCGAAGGCGGCGCCTCGCACGAGGGTGTCGGGAGGCAACTGCCGAGAGGGGCACCTCCTCCTGCTCCTCCTCCTCCTCCTCCTCCTCCTCCTCCTGCGCTGCTGCTGCTAGACGGTTGCGTTTGAGGGCCTCGGAGGGCCTCTAACAGCACCTCCTCCTACTCCTTCTATGCGTTTGAGGGCCTCCAAGGGCCTCCAACGGCACCTCCTCCTCCTCCTCCTCCTCCTCCTCCTCCTCCTCCTCCTCCTCCTCCTCCTCTGCCCCAGCGCGGCACGGTGCAGGGGTGGTCGGCCCTGCGGGGCCGAAAGACCAGGCAGCGCACCGTTCTTGGGTCGAGCATCTACAGCGCCTCGGGAGGCACCAACGTGGTACAGTGCGCACGAGTCATCCGCGGATGTCAGGAGGCAACTGCTGGGATGTCTTCGCAGGAGCGTGTGAAGCTCCCCGAGGTGCCACGAGGCAACTGCTGGGAAGCCTTCGTGACAGCGAGGAAGGGCCAAGACGAGGCTAGGACAGGACAGCATCGGACAGGGACAAATCGGGCATCGGGCGCAACGACCTTATCAGGGAGATCCAGAACACTCTGAGACCGTTCCCGAAAGCTCTGGAACGATTTATCTCTGTCCTAGCCCTTCCCAAAAGGCTGTTGAGCTCGACCTATACAGAAGCCGGACTAGACCTGGAATTCAGCTGGAGTAGGCCAAAATACGACAGACCCAGCCGGTTTCGACCACGGATTTACCAGCACCGATGCTGAATATAAATTCCAAGGGGTTGCACCCTAAGAGGTGTATGCCGATGGAGAACTCTCGAGTCAGCGTGGGAGGCCCGGAGGCCAACACCTCCCAGGGAGGCTGTCGGTAGACGGCCCTCAAGAAGTGTGAAGGTGGTGTCTTCTTCGACCGCTTTCATCCCCCAGGTTCGCTGGCAACTCATGGGAGCCTCCCACACCATGGTGTCGGCGCTTGCGAATCGGCGCGGGTCGACGCCAAATCGACGCTCTCCGACGCGAAATCGACGCTCACCGACGCTGAATCGGCGCTAGATCATCGACTCCCAGACGCCAATCGACGCCAGTCGACGCTGAAGACGGAATTCAGAGGGCATACCCTGCGTCCATGATCTACTGCCGCACCCAGGGGCTGCTCGAGAATGGAGTTCCGCAGGGGTGAAGGCGACCACACATCGGATTCCGAAGGAGCGGGGGGATGGAGCAGGTTGCGTTTCGACGAAGTGCGCATGCGCCTGCCCGCAGTGAGAAAAGATAAAGGACAGCCTTTTCCGAATTACCCGTAAGTTCAGCCTCTTGCTGCTCTTCGCCTCCTCCTCCTCTTGCTCCTCCTCCTCCTCCTCATCATCACCATCACCACCACAACCACCATCATCAGCATCATCATCATCAACATCATCATCAGCATCACCATCATCATCATCATCAGCAGCATCGTCACAACCATCATCATCATCATCATCATCATCATCATCATCATCATCATCATCATCATCATCATCATCGTCATCATCATCAGCATCAGCATCAGCATCAGCATCATCATCATCATAAGAATCATCATCATCATCATCAGCATCATCATCATCATCATCATCATCATCATCATCAGAATCAGCATCACCATCATCATCATCATCCTGCTCCTCCTCGCTCCTGCTCCTCCTCCTCGGGGAGGGGGCAGAGGACCAGAGCGACCCCGGATGGCACCAGCAAACGAAGCGACGCGCTGTCACGCTCCCGACCCCGGAGCCTGCGGCTGGGCGGCAAGCGCCCGCGTTGCACCACGGGGGCCCCGTTTGCCTGCCACGGGCTCGGGGCCTGGAGCGGGGCGGATCGGCGACAGCCCCGTGGTCCTGCATCGGGCGCGGGACCCTGGCCATCGCTCGGACGTCCATTTCCTGTGTTTTTTGTTGGTTTCGTGCGTGGTTTTTTCGCGAAATGATCGAGGGATGCTCCTCGGTGGCCCTCGCCGAAGGAAGAATGCACACGTCCGAGCGATGCCAAGGACCTGGCGGGGCTGGAGCGGCCAAGCCGGTTGCGATCCCGCCTCGGGACCTCAGCCGTGGGAGGACAGGCTCAAGGAAACCACCAGATTCTGCCACGGAAGCCGATGCTCGCGACACGGTGCGCTCACACGGAGCGTCGAACACACCGAGCTTCGTGCAACCACCCACGCCAAGTCGCCGTAAGCCGTCAAAACGTGTGAGACAAAATCCGAGGCAACGGAGCGAGAGCACGGAATTGAACAGCGGTCATACGTCCATCCGTGTCGCAATAGGAGGGGTGGCGCTTCAGATCTCGTGTTCTCAAGCAGCCTCAAACGAGAACGCGTATTGAAAAAAACACTGCCCGCAAGACGTCTAAGAGTTAGGGACAATGAGCTTGCCGCTGGATAATGCATGGATTCCCCGAGTGAAAGTTCGAGTGTGAAAGGGTGCCACCCCCTTCATCGAAACTTGTACATGTTGAAAGCTCGTGGCGGTGTTTAAAGCCAGCATGAGAAATTGTCAAGCAAAAGCTCGAATCGAAATAAGGCTCGACCTCTACCCTAGCAGCTGCTGGAAACCTCGAGCTGTAATCAAACAAATCACGAGACACATAATACGGGGACATGGTTTTGAAAACAACCTGCCGACGATCCGTGCACCTGCTGAACACAGAACACCACAAAAGAGAATGCCACTTTGACAACGGCACACCTCACATCCGTATAATTGCTGGGGATGATGTGCTGCGAGATCGTAACTTCTGCTAGCTCTCTAACGACAGCGCGACCTCGACGATGGACCAGTTACCGTCGATGTGACTGGATGCTCATTCTAGGGACGTTCCTGGAGATACTCGCTCCACTTGTGCGTCGAAGCTGCGTCAAACGTCCGTCGAATTGAGCCGACCTTGAGCCGAACCTGAGTCGAACCTGAGTCGAACTTGAGTCGAACTTGAATCGAGCTGGGGTCGAACTGGGGTCGAACTAGAGTCGAACAGATCCTTTAGGTCGGCCCCAGAAAGATCCCCCAAACGAGCATCTAATGTGACAATAATTTGTCATCCACCTGCGCGTTGCGCCATCTTTCTGGCCGCTCTTGGAGCTGAGTGCACATGGCAGATAGGAACCTGAAGGGACTGCGGCCCGCTGTGGAGCGGGCAAAGCGAAACGGCTCTCCGTCGCGCTCCAGGCCAGATTGCCCCCCCAAGATAGATGAAATACTACGTAATTCGGCGGTGAGCGAGGGAGGAAGTGAGAAGGAGAAGGCCTTCTCAGATGGTGGCGGGACTTCTCAGAAGCCCTCGCGCCTTCTGGCAGTTTTCTGTGTCTTGGGGAAGATTCAGGAAACTTCTCAGAAGGCCGGGGGACTTCCGAGCCTTCTGACAAGGCCAGCTCCTTCTCACTTTTCTCTCTCGCTCGCCGCCAGTACATAATGTCAACGTTTTCTTATTCGGCGTTCCGACGTTGGGCGGTAAGGGGGGGTGGGTCTGGTTCTGGACCTCCTTAATGCGACTGTTTGCAACAGTGCGTCCTATGGGGTAGACTCCACCTGCTCGAAACAGGCGCCAAATACAGCCGAGCTCTACTCCATGGATGGGGGGCGGGAGGGGGTGGGAGGGCCCGTGCCGATCGGAAAAACAGTCAACCCGTATAGTAAACGTCGGTCGGAAGAAGTAGGTAAAAACATGAAGTACGAAGGCGGATAAAGTGGATTGGGTCCAGGCCCTCCCAGAGAATAGCAGAACACAGCAACATCATTTCAAATCTTGAAGTAGGAAGGCGCTTGAAATAGATTGGGATCTGGGAATCCAGAAGTACCTACTTTCAGCGACTGGCTTGTACACTCAGCCCGTATAGTAAGGACGCGCAGGAAGGATGCAAGGGCCTTGGAAGGCCGTTTCGAAGCTTTTCGAGCGGGGCGCGGCCAGCGAAAGTGGCCAAGGATGGACCGAGGAGGAAGGGATGCAAATGCAACCTCAGGATAATTGCCCATCCTTACTATGCGGGTTCTGTTTGCGAGGGTAACATCGAGTGAGGAAAAAATCGAAAACCTCTGAGATCTGGCGGCTCGGGAGGATGCCTCGGGCACCGCGCCCTTCTCAGAGCGCTCTGGAACGCTCTGAGAGCGTTCCGGAACCACCCTAGAACGGATTGATCCTCTTCCTAGCCCCGTCAGACCGTTGTTTCTGCGACAGAGGCGAGGAGAAGCAGACGCGACCGAAATACCGCCGTCACGGCAGGCACTGCCACAAGAAGCAATACGCACGCTCCTCTGGCAGAGGGAGTGCTGTCGGATGCTAGCGCGCAGCTGGACTGCGCATACGCCCGGCCGCGGCTGTGTTATTCACAGGGAGTGCGGGGCAACGATCGGGGGCGAACGGCTCGGGGGGGGCAACATCGGCCTGGGACCTGGGATCGGCGAAATGTATATGTATATACATATAAAAGACAATACTGGAACCATCGCGCGCGCTTCGCGCGCGCTCAAGCTCTAGCTAGGCTGGATGGGCTAACTCATGGAATCTAGTGTGGGTCGTTTCTTGCATCCAGGGGCTCTCTTTGGAGGCCCTGCGCAAGCCTCGGAATCGCATAGAAGAGGAACTGCGGAAACGCAGACATCAATAATCCCCGTTCGGTATTCAACGATTTGGGGCCCTCAAAGACTTCCTGGGTTCTTTCTGGAAGCTGAGAGGGGGCCTTACTTGTGGTCGGTGTGTATATATATGCATCTATATATATATATATATTATCATACGCACCTCTCCGAAGAGAGTAGAGCTCAGAGGCGATTAGTGGGTACGCGGGGCGCCGCGTTCTCGATTTTTCTGGCGTTTCGTTCGGGGCATCCTCGAAATTCTGAAAATCGGTGGCACCCCGCACGCAGATCGCGACGTCAGGGTCCAAAAACACATGGGAATTTCAACATTCTAACATAAAACATTCTAACAATCGAACCCCGACGTACCTTCTGGTACCCCAGACCCCGCCTCGGAGCCTCTTGGGAGCCTCCTGGAACCTCCTGGGGTCTCCTGGTGCTTTCTGTATCTTCTGGTACCCCAGACCCCGCATCGGAGCCTCCTGGGGCGGCCTCCTGGAGCCTCTTGGAGCCTCCTGGAGCGTCCTAGGGTCTGCTGGGGCCTCCTGAGGCCGCCTGGGGCCTCCTGGGGCCTCAGAACTACATGCACACACAAAGACACAAATCACACCCAACACATCACACGCTAGACAAACATAACGCACACACACACACACACACACACACACACACACACAACACCTACAACGCACAGGAAACACGCACAACACATCACACACATCACACACACAACACTCACAATCCCAGGGCCTCCTGGAGCCTCTTCCGGTATCCAAGTCGGGCCTCCTGAGGTTTCCTGGGGGGCCCTGGTACACACATCGCAAGGTGTGGCAACCCCAATTGCGCTTGAGTGCGAACTCGATCTTAGATTATTCTACGTTCACCTCCTGCCTCTTCCCCTTCTCTTAGGCACGCCCTGGCGGCGCCGCCCCAGCTTTCCCTTCTCCATCTCCGATCCTGCAGTCATGGTGTCTTCCTGCTTCAAACGCCCTTTCAATTTTCTTTGTATGAGCCTGGGCACACACGTGCCACTTGTATATATACATATGTACATACATGTGTCGACGATCGATCGGCGATGGGCCCACTGTACCGGCCTCTCCGCAGAATCCTGGGCGGGGGGGGCTATCAAGCCCCTATCGGCGATCAGTGCGCGATTGGGGGTCGATGCATCCCTCCTGCGCCTGTCCCCCTCTGGCGTTGCCCCCGAGGGAGGCGCGCCAGAACCCTCGCCACCGCGGCCGGTCACATAAAAAGTCCAAATTCTGCTCGGGAGCGGCCAAGAGGGGGGTGTCCAAGAGGGGGGGGGTGCAAATCATGGCCGGCGGTATGTGCGCGGCCCAGCGGGGGGGCCAGGGACGTAATGAAACAAGAAGAGGCGCCATGAAATCTGGGGAAATATCATGGCCCCCGCCATGATATCCCCCCCCCCCCCCTAGTCATCACCCCCCTCTTTGCCGCCCCCGATCTGCGTCTAGAAAGAGTGTGCGGCCGGGGCGCGCAAAAACGGGACAACAATCTTGGCCCGCCGGAGCAGGGCGAGGAGATCGCCACGGGTCCTCTGCCTCGGGCCCGGCCCCTCCGGGGCCCAGGAGCGGTGAGGCACGTCCTCCCGGACTGGCCAGGGAGGCACATCCACAGCTCCTGGGCCCAGGAGGGGCCCAGGCCCGGGGCAGCGGAGGTGTACAGATGCCGCCGCCCTGCGCAACACCGACGGCACACGCGGGCACGAGGCTTCGCTCGCGACGGCGGCGACAGCGCCCCTGCGACGGCGCCCTCCGCGTGCGATTCGCAGGGGAAGGAGCAAAAACCACCACAGGGGGAAAACGCGGGGCCCTGTGCCGCAGCGGCCAGCCCGGGCCCTCGCACGCTTCGCTCTTCCACCCTCCCGTGCGCGCCCGCCCCCGGGCGGCGCGCCGAGCGGGGAAGGTGTGCGAAGGCGGCCGGACCCTCTCAGAAGGGCCGCGGGGCTCCTCGGGAGCCCTCCGGCCTGCGGCGGTGCCGCCCCCGTGGCCTCGGAGCCCTTCCCCAGAAGAAACAGAAACGGCACGCAGTCAACCCGCAGCAGTAAGTTGGGCCTGTCCCCCTACAGGGGGATGCTGGGCGAAAAATAAGAAATACTCACGACATAAGAAGATGCCCAAAGATACTAACAAAAAAAGTCCCCAGACTATTTTTTGACTATTTCTGAATTTCCCCCTTGTAAAGGGGCAGGCCCGGCTTGACCGTAGCAGGAGGACGCGCGGTGAGGATGCAGGGGCCCTGGGAGGCCGTGTCGAGAAGCCTCGCGACCGGGGCGCGGCCAGCAAGAGTCGCCCAGGATAAGCCGAGGGGGCAAGGATGCAAGGCTACACGTCGGTCGGAAGAAGTAGGTAGAAACATGAAGTAGGCTTGGACTATGTTGTTCCCATCGTGCTTAAGGATCACATCCCGGAAATAATTTCGAGCACCCTGAAAAGTGTCGACAGGGTGTCGAAGCAGTGTCGGGGCTACCCGTCGGTCGGAAGAAGTAGTCAGAAACATGAAGTAGGCTTGGGCTATGTTGTTCCCATCGTACTTAAGGACCACATCCCGGAAATAATTTCGAGCACCCTGAAAAGTTTCGACAGAATATCGAAACAGTGTCGGGGCTACCCGTTGGTCGGAAGAAGTAGGTAGAAACATGAAGTAGGAAGGCGGATGTAGTGGATTGGGTCCAGGTCCTCCAACAGAATAACAAAACACAGCAAAAGCGTGTCGACTCTTGAAGTAGGAAAGCGCTTGAAGTAGATTGGGATCTGGGAATCCCAAGATACCTACTGTCAACGACCGGCATGTACCCTTGGGAAGGTGGCCCATCCTTGCTATGCGGATTGACTTCAAACAAAAGCTTGTGGCGTTCCGCGCGGACTTCATCTGCACTGGACCCCCCTCCCTGGCGCGCGGAGCGCGCCAGGGGCGGCGCCACAGGCGCCGCCGGGGGTGGCCCAGCGCGGATTTCCAGGAAATCCGCGCGGAGCGCCAAGCAAATATGCTTATGGCGTGTTTGGCTTCATCTAAGGAAGCTTCTCGAAAGGCCGGAGGCCTTCTGCGCCTCCTGCTTGCCGTCGCCCGGACGTCCGATTCCGTGCATTTGTCGGTCTCGTGCGTGTATTTTCTGCTCGATGGCCCAGGATGGCCGTCGATGGCTCTCGCCGAGAGAAAAATGCACTCCTCCTCCTCCTCCTCCTCCTCCTCCTCCTCCTCCTCCTCCTCCTCGTCCGAGCGATGCCGAGCTGATTCTGAGAGGAGCCCACCCCTTCGGTCTTCTCCCCCAGGCGCGCCGCCGACCCTCGCCCGGCGGCAGCGCGAAACGACGGCCGTCTTCGACGCGGGGACCCGAAAAGGGGCGCCCCCCGCGGAGACATCGCGATGGGCCTGCTGTCCATCACCACCACCATGAGTTGCAAGGGGGAAGGAGGTGGAGGAGGAGGAGGAGGAGGAGGAAGAGGAGGAAAAGACCCTTCCCCTCCTACTTGTGGTGGTGGCGGTGGAAAACAAGCCCACTGATCGGGCCCCGCCCACGCCAGAGTGCGGCCGCAAGAGACCCTCGCTGCACAGGGGCCGCGTGGAGGGGGGCCAAACCGAAGCAATCCAAACGCGCCACCCCTTGCTGGTGGGACCCCTCTGGGCCCGCACCGAAGGTAAGACGGAGGCAGCATCGAGACACAACCAGACCGATATGAATCGGAAATCTCCGAGAATCGGCTGATTTGGAGAATGCATCGGGCGCCGCGGCCGTTTCAGAGCGTTGCCGAACTCTCTGAGAGCGTTACGGAACGCTCTGGGACGGGTTCATCTCGATGCTCGGCCCGTCCGAAAGTTCACCCCAGCGAAAGGGCACTGTTTGCTTTAGCCGACCAATGGGAGCGCGCCAACTATACCCGCCAGTCGGAAGAAATAAGTGGAAACGTGAAGTAGGAAGGAGCAAACAGCAGAGTGGGTTCGGGCCGCCCAGAGAAGAATAACAAACAACAATCACACACGAAGTAAGGAGGCGTTTGGAACTGATTGGGATCTGGTGGCCCAAAGATATGTCGCATCCCGCTGCTGCGGATAAGACTGAGGGGGCGGGCGATGTAGGTCGCGGGTGGGTCGCGGGCGGGTCGCGGGTGGGTCGCGGATGGGTCGCGCGTGGGTCGCTGGCGGGTCGCGGGTAGGACGCGGGTGGGTCGCGGGGTGGGTCGCCGGGGGGGGTCGCGGGGTGGGTCCCCCACAGGGTCGCGGGTGGGTCGAATGCGAGTCGCAGGCGGGTCGCGGGCCAGAAACGACAACCATCCAAAAATGCCACTGTAGCACCCAGCATTGGCGGATAAGAGTGAGGGGGCAGGCGCGGGGTGGGTTGCGGGTGGGTCGCGGGTGGGTCGCGGGGTCCGGGTGGGTCGCGGGGTGGGTCGCGGGTGGGTTGCGGGCGGATCGCGAGTGGGTCGCGGGTGTGTCGCGCGTGGGTCTCGCATGGGTCGCGGGTGGGTCGTTATCGTCGCGCGCGGGTCGCGCCTCGGGTCGCGGGTGGGTCGCGGGCGGGTCGCGGGCGGGTCGCGGGGTGGGTCGCGGGTGCGTGGCGGGGTGGGTCCCCAGGGGGTCGCGGGCCGGGTCGCGGGTGGGTCGTCGATGGGTTGCTGATGCGTCGCGGGTGGGTCGCGGGTGGATCGCGGGTGGGAAGCGGGCCGGGCCGCGGGCGGGATGACGACAACGAATAACAAGCCTCAACAAGCCTCAGCAAGCATCAACATGCCTCAACATCAACCACAACAACAGCAGCAGCAGCAACAACAACAACGACCACATCAACAACAACGTCAAAACCAACAAGAGCAACAACACGGACAACAACAACAACAACAACAACAACAACATCATCATCAACAACAACAACAACAATCATTTAAGACTGGGGACACTCCGTTCTCACCAGTGCCAGGGTTTTCATAGGAGGCGGGCAATACCCCCACTTTGTGGGGGGGCCGGTTCAAGCTCTACCAATTTCCAAACGACTCTTCGCCACCACCCACACCCAGCTTCCCGCCCTATGACGTTCGGACACCTCACTTCGTGGCCTGCGGACGACCTTGGCTACTACACTGGCGCATGGGTACAATGACTTGTTGTGGTAACTTTTTCTGCTAGCTAGCTTAGTATACGACTTTTCCCCCTGCAATTGAAGATTTCGGCGTGCGCGCGCGAAGAAAAAACGAATGTGTCCCATATGGTATTAGACAGGGATGATGGCCCTGGCAGGCGCGCAACCGTTGTTGCAGAAGTTCGAAGCACGTGAAAAAGTTGCTCGCAAGAGCCCGTTTGACAGAAATGTTGAAAAAGTATTGGGTTTCCTAAGAAATCCGCAAGAGCGCGCGGGGTGAATGTTTGAAACCCTTTTTTTGAAAAAACCATTGGGTTTTTCATGTTTTTATGTGAAAATCGCTACGAAGACTAAGGTTTTGGAAGGATTTCGTCTTGCGCGCGCGAATGTGCACTTCGTGTCATTTTTTGCAAGGGATTCTTGAAGTTTGGTCATGTTAGAACAAGAAATGTCCACTTTGCCTTATTTTTTGCAAGGGAAAACCGATCGTAACAACACAACCGGATCTGGTATACCCCGTTTTGCCTGGGTCTTCCTCACGAAAATGATGAAAATGTGGCTGCGGCCTAGGCGCGGCGGGGGGGGCGCGCACCAGGGGCCCCAACAATAATTATTCTTTAGAATTAATAATGTTCAACAACAACAACAACACCAACAACAACAACAACAACAAGCAACAACAATCGTTTTAAGACTGTTCGCTATTATCTGCTCGCGTGTCATTCAATATGCATATCCCAAACCGTGGACACCCGCCCTCTTCGTCTTCGATCGTGCCCCTTATTGGGCGGTATATTCATTCCCTGCCACGCGTGGTCGGTGAAGCCCTTGAAAACGAAGGGAAACAGAAAACGAAGGGTAGACCGAGGATTCGGAGGAAGGAAGGGGAGGGGCAAGATGGAAGGAGGACGATGATTGGTGCTGCGAGTGGCGATCCAGCTTTCGCCATGGTTTGCGCCAGCCACACCAATACAGGTTACCAATAAGTTTCGCCATGGGTCGCGCCATAAACGGCGCCACGTACCACCCCCTTGAAAGAACATATCGTGGAGACCCCCACGGGGGGACATACAGTTGCGAAGTGCTGTCAGAAACAAATGTCGTGGAACCCTGAGAAGAAGCGGGATGTTGCGAGAGCGAAGCGGAAAGATAGGGAGAACTGCAACCGTGTCGAGAGGAGCGAGGGGATGTGGAGTGGATTGGGATGGAGTGGACAAGAGTAGGGCCTCAGGAGGAGGAGCGGCAAAGAGTGGAGAAGCGAAACCGGGGAGAGTGCGGAGGAGCGGGGGGCGCACGGAGGAATCTGGAGGAGGGACTGGGAATAGCGAGGGGGCCACGAAGGGCGACAGCAGGGCGACGAAGGGCATGCATATGAGGCCACGAAGTGCGCGAGCGAGCGGGGGGCACGAAGGGCATGCTATCCGGGGCCGCAAAGGGCAGCGACGGGGCCACTGAGGGCAGCACCGGGGCAACGAAGGGCAGCGAGGGGGCCACAAAAGGCGACAGCGGGGCTACGAAGGGCATGCATATGGGGCCACGACGGGCGCGAGCGAGCGGGGGCCACGTAGGGCATTCGTATATGCGGCCGCAGAAGGCGACAGCAGGGCCACTGAGGGCAGCAAAGGGGCCACGAAGGGCAGCGAGAGGGCCACGAAGGGCGACAGCTTGGCTACGAAGAGCATGCGTATGGTTGCGAGGAAGTCCAAAGCGAGAGCGCGATTCTCCAAGAAACCGCGAGGAAGTATCAAGCGGGAGCCGCGATCCGGTGGTAAATTGCAATGAAGTCCAAGCGAAAGCGCGATTCTTCAATAAATTGTAAATATCAAGCGGGAGCCGTTGCTGACGCGGGCCACGACGGGCGCGAACGAGCGGGGGCCCCGAAGGGCATGCGTATAGGGGGCCGCAGAGGGCAGCGACGGAGCCGCTGAGGGCAGAAACGGGGCCACGAAAGGCAGACAGGGGGCCACAAAGGGCGACAGCCGGGCCACGAAGGGCATGCATATGGGGCCACGACGGGCATGAACGAACGCGGGCCACGAAGGGCATACATATATGGGACCAGAAAGGACGACAGCGGGGCCAATGAGCGCAGAAAGTGGGCCACGAATAGCAGCTATGGGGGCCACGTTTACAGCCGGGCGACGAAAAGCATGCATATGGGACCACAAAAGGCGCGAACGAGCGGGGGCCACGAAGGGCAATTAATCCGGGGCCACAGAGGGCAGCGACGGGGCCGTTGAGGGCAGAAACGGGGCCACGAAGGGCAGAGACGGGGCCACGAAGGGCGACAGCGGGGCCACGAAGGGCATGCATATGGGGCCACGACGGGCGCGAACGAGCGGGGGCCACGAAGGGCATTCGTATATGGGGCCACAGAAGGCGACAGCGGGGCCAGTAGTGAGGGCAGCGAAGGGGCCACGAAGGGCAGCGAGGGGGCCACGAAGTGCGACAGCGGGGCTACGAAGGGCATGCATATGGGGCCACGACGGGCGCGAGCGAGCGGGGGCCACGAAGCGCATATAATGCGGGGCCACAATGGGCAGCGACGGGGCCACTGAGGGCAGCAACGGGGCCACGAAGGGCAGCGAGCGAAGGCGACCGCGGAACCAGTACGGGCAACGAGGGGCGTCGCAGGCGGGCGAAGGGCAGCGAGCGGCGACGGCAGTCCCTAACGGGCTGGTCTGGCGGGCAGGCCCAGACGAGCGGGTCGAGCGGGCGGGTCGTTGAAGCGTAAATCCTTGTTGAACCGCCAGGCAATATGTAGCGGGAGGGTCGAGGAGCGGCATCTGAATAAATTGTAAGGAAATATCAAGCGGGAGCCGCAATTCGGTGGTAAGTTGCGAGGAGGTCCCAAGCGAGAGCGCGATTCTCCAATCAATTGTGGGGAACTATCAAGCGGGAGCCGCGATCCGGCAGTAAATTGGAAGGAAGTCCCAAGCGAGAGCGCGATTCTTCAATAAATTGCGAGGAAGTATCAGGCGGGAGCCGTTGTTGTTGTAAACCAGGGGCCCACGACACAGTTTGCCCCTCAAGACATTCCCTGATAAAAAACAGGGTGCGAGCCCTTGGAAGGACACTTCAATCGAAAAAAACAATGTGCAACGGACGGGGGGGGTCAACAATAATTATTCTTCAGAAGTGAGAACTCAACAACAACAACAACAACAACAACAACAACAGCAGCAGCAGCAACAACAACAACAACAACAACAACAGCAGCAGCAGCAACAGCAACAACAGCATCCACAACAACATAACCAACAACATTAACAACAGCAACAACACCAGCCTGAACAACCTGAACAACAACAACAACAACAACGACAACAACAACAACAATAACAACAACAACGCCAACTGCAACAACAACAGCATAACCAACATCAACAATCACAACAACCACCGCAACAGAAACACCAGCACCAACACAAACACCAACACCATCACCAGCACCAGCAACAACAACACCAACAACACCAACAACATCACCATCAACAACACCAACAACAACAACACAAACAGCCGTACCATTAACAACAATGGCACCACCAACATAAACAACAGCAACAACATAAACAACAACAACAACAACAACACCAACGCCAACACCAACGACAACAACAACAACAACAACAACAACAACAACAACAACAACAACAACACAACAACACTAACGACAACAACAACACAAACAACAACGACAACAACCACAATCGTGTTAAGACTGTTCTCTCATATGTGCTCGCATCTTCGTCTTCGATCGTACCCCTTGGGGTATATGCTTCTTTCTTACCTGCACATGTATTTCTCGCGGCCGCTAAGGCAGGGGAAGAGAGGACGGATGGAAGGACGGGACAAGAAGAAGAGAGGAGGAGGAGCACGGGAGAAAGAGCAGCAGGAGTGGGGCTGGGAGCGGAAAAAGTTGCAGAAGGAGAAGGAGGAGGAGCAGCAGCAGCAGAGCAGGGGGGAGAGAAGGATAAGGATGAGGAGGAGGAGGAGGAGGAAGATGAGGAGGAAGAAGAGGAGGAGAAGGCAGAAGAGGAGGATGACGAGGGGGGGGAGGACGAGGAGGAGGAGTCAGAGGAGGGGGGGAGGGCGAGGGGGATGAGGACGAGGAGGGAGAGAAGGCAGAGGAGGGGGAGGAGGGGAAGACGAGGAGGGGAGGAGCAGAAGGAGAAGGAGGAAGAGGAGGAGGAGGAGGCAGAGGAGGAGGGGAAGGAGGAGGACGAGGAGGACGAGGAGGACGACGATATGGACGAGGACGGAGAGGAGTAAGGAGAGGAGAAGGGAGAGGAGGGAGGTAAGGAGAAGGAGGAGAGGGGCAGAAGGACGAGGAGGAGGAGGTAGAGGAGGAAGAGGAGGATGAGGAGAAGGAGGAGGAGGAGGAGGAGCAGGAGGAGAGGAGGAGGAGGAGGAGGAGGAGGAGGAGGACGAGGCGGACAAGGACGAGGACGAAGAGGAGGCAGAAGAGGAGGGGGAGGAATAGGGGAAGAGGACGAGGAGGTGGCCGACCGCTTCATCGACTCTGGCTGGGCCAATCCTGAGACCAAGCCCGGCGGAGCCCAAGGGAAGGCATATATGCGCTGATCCTGGGCCCAAGACGTGGTTGGCCGGGATCTGCGGGTCGGTGGACGCCCGAACGAGGGGGGTAATCGAGGTCGGAAGCTGGACGGGCAGCGAGGGTCTCCCAGGGGCGTGAGGCCAAACTTGCCGGCGGTCGCGCGCCGCAGACCGCGCCGTGCTCGAGCCCAATGCAGGCCCTGCCAGCGATCACTTCGCCTGGCGTGGGCCGCGGCACGTTCGAGGAGGTCGAAGGAGGAGGAGGAGGAGAAGGAGCAGGAGCAGGAGCAGGAGCAGGAGCGTTCTCGTCCCCTCTTGCCCCGTCCAATTCGCCGGGCGGAATGCCTACGGGAGGCCGCCGCTTGCCGCAGCCGCGCCGCTGGTGCGGCATGCTCCATCCCGAAGCGCTCAGCAGACTGTCCGCAGCGGTGTGATCGGATCAGGGTGCTGAGAAAGAGGAGGAGCACGCAGGGCCCGCGGGCTATGGCGTGGCGGCAAGCCCTGGTGAGGCTCGAGTCGACAAGAGGATCCGAATCCGCTCTCTGGGCGAATGTTGGGATCCTGGGGCGCGTCTTCGCGACCAGCTCGGTCCAAAGGCCCCAAGCCACCTCCTCTTCCCGATGGCTCACGGCTGACGCAAATGAACGTTTACTGTAAAGCATATGCTCAGTATGCAAATATCAAATGCATCAGAACGTGAACAATCGAGCATAGAAAAAGCAGTGCGTGGAGACTAGAGAATAGCGTACCACCGAATATGAGAGCTCAGGGTCGAGAGGTGGGGATATATGAGAGAGAAGGGAAGGGAGGCCAAGGGAAGACAGCAGACAAGTCATAACATGCACACATATGCTGTACACAAGAGATAAGCGATACGAATGATAAGAGATCCTACGAGACCGTCGGACCCGTCGCATGCCCCCTCAGATTCATCACCTGAGCGCTGCCTGCACATCTGTAGTGAAGGCACATGAGCTGGTGGCGTTCCAGCGTACCGTCTAAACCTCCCCCAGCCCACGCCCCCGCAACCCTGGGCAAAGCAGGCAATGAAGACGTGGAAACTGCGCACACCGTCGGCGAGCAAGGCCACGGCCCCCCTGCCCCCTTCCGCACCATCCTCCCCCTCCGACCTGGCTTCCCCCCCCTCCTCCTCCAGCGACAGCCCTGATACAGGCCTGGGCGTTCTGGGCGCTTTGGCAAAGACAAGGAGGTGAAGGAGGAAGATACAGACACAGAGAGAGAGAGAGTTTACAAAAAAGGGTAACAGGTAGAGAAAGAAAGAAATAACAGCAGAACGATGATGATGATGAGTTCATACAAGTATAATACAATTTCATGCCGTGTGCTGTCTCTTATTGTTTACAACTGGATGGATTATCGTATTGATTCCCGCTGCATCGGTTATTGGATTGTGTCCCATGCCCCGGTACTCTTGTTGTTCATGTTGCCCTGATGATCTTAGTGTTTTCTCATGCCTGGCTAACAATACTGATTCCTTACGCTAGTATTTCAATGGCGTGCCCAAGTGTAGGGATTATCTGATTGTTTTCTGTTGTATGCTCTCTTAGTGTTTCCTGGTGTATGTGCTCTCTTGTTGTTTCCTGTTGCATTGAGTCTCGGTGGGTTACCTGTTGCGTTGAATCTCTCGTTGTTTCCTGATGTATGGATGTTACGATTGTTCCGGAATGTAGCCCAACAGATCCAAAAAAAACGCGTGAAGCATTAAGGGAAGCATTGCGAACAGAAAACACACGCATGCCCACAAAGCAACTAGCACACATCCAAACACGGTTGAAATAATAGAAATTATAGAGAGCACACAACAAACACGCCTGAAACACTTACAACACCATAGCTAAAGCAAACGCTTGGAAAGTGACCCCCCCCAGAAAGAAAGCATCAACAAAACGCATGAAACACTCAGAACACATATCAAAGCATAGGACAAAATATCGGCTTGGCCGCCCGCGCGACAAAGACACAAAAAAACAGAGTATAACCAAAAACTTGGAACCTAAAACAAGGATGAGGTTCAGAATTAAAAAATACGAAAGTCGTAAAAACTGACCAAAACATCTGAGGTGCCCCCATCCAAAAAAAACAACAAATCAACCAACACATGCCTAGACAACATCGCTAATGAGAGTGCAGAAAGCGAAAACGCCAGACCAGATGTCGACGCTCAGGCGCCCAGTACTGATTTGCGTGATGTGTTATGTTGTATGGCTTCTCGTCTTGTTCCCAGTGGTATACATTATCATAGTGTGCCATGTTGCTCTATGAGTGGCTATTTTTGTATGTATTCGCGTATCGATTTCCGCTGTATGAGTTGTCCTACTGGTTCCTGATGTACTGGCTCACTTGTTGTTTTCTATTGTCCTGGTTATCAGATTGGCGCCTGTAGCATGCATTATCGTAGAGTTTACGTGTGTATAAATTATCTTACTGGCTCCTTGGGTTGATTATCTGATTGTTTCCCTTGTTTGCACTGTTTTAGTCTTTCCTGGTGGCGTGTGGGCTCTCTCATGGCTTCCTGTCGCACGGGCTATCTTATTATTTTCTGTCTGCATTACCATGCTGTATCCTGTTGTTTTGGTTCCCTTACTGCTTCCTAGTTCATGGATTGTCTGATTGCTTCGCATTTTAATCCAACGAATCCAGAACCCACTGACAACACTGAGAACATGTAACAGAAATTCCCGTAAACATTTGACACCCTCCCAACACAATAGCGAACAAACAAAAACATCTGAGGGGACCACAAAAAACTGACCGATACTCTTCAGAAAAATTGAATCACTGAGTAAACATAGACAAACACCAAAGACTGCTTGACACACGTACAACACCAAAACTAAAACACTACACATGTTAATGTGCTTTATATTTGTTTTGACAGGTACCGCCCCAAAAAACAAAAAACACGAACCAACTCAAGGAACACTTAAGAACGCAGAGCAAACACACACACACACACACACACCAGGCAAACCATGAGAGGTCAAAGTGACGTCTAACAACATGATATTCGTGCAAACTGCCTGACCACCATCCCGAATGAAGGTGCCAAAACCAGAAAGAATACTTAACCCTGACCGGCAGAACGCCAATCAGCGAATGCTCGCGCGCCCAGCGGGGAGTCGGGCCTGGGTGCCTGCGCGAGCGTAGACATATGCTCTGGCGGTTTGGATGTGTTTCGTTTGTTGCACCCTCATCCGGGATGGTGGTTAGGCACTGTGCTACTCCCGAAATGTGTTTGGCA